GCGGCCGCCACCCCCACCCTGCTGTGCGGGACTATTGTTGCATTTCGGTCAGAGCCCTGTGCTCCGAGCACCCCGGAGCGCCGAGGGTAGTAGGGAGGAGGGGAAATAAAGCGAGCTCACATCAGTGAGGGGAATAACCAGGAAGGAAAAAGAGACACTTAAAGGCAAAGAGTCGCCATGTTTAGCAGCATTTTTTTTTTTTTTTTAAAGATCTCCTCAATTTCTCACAGAAACTCTCTGGGTCTCAACCCTTGTCTTTTGTCCAAATCAGTCGCAGCAAAAATCTTTTGTTCTAACTCAGCATGTAAAGAAAAACTTTCCTTAAATGCAATAAACTTAAACCGAACTCAAGACTTATAAACAGATCCTCCTCTGGCCACACTAAACATATACAAAGGGTTTTAACGGTTTGAAAAAAATTTGCGTCCTATTTTATTGTCTCGCAGTCCCCCTCCCCCAGTCATTGATGAAACTTAGAGGAAGGGAGGGAGATTTCCAACACCTAGAACACATGCTTAATGCATAATAAAACAGGGACTGTCTTTTGCTTTGAAAATAATAAATTATAATTTAATGCCAATAATAATTTACAACAAATGGCTGTTTACAATAAACCAACACAAAACAAACAAGGAAAGGGCCTGTGTTATACTTATTAGAGAAACTTCACACACTCACATGGATACCGCTTGCAAGAGGGAAAAATAAACAACTGGCAAAAGCTTGATCTAAAGGTCAGCTATATTCTGGTGTAAGATCATACTTATATTTATATATGTATATATCTACGGGGGGGAAGCTGAGGACAGATTGGAAAACTGTTCAAATGCACAAATCTGACCCCCCCTCCTTGATCTTCATATATTGACTAGAACTGAATAGCAAAGTTTAATACAGTTGGCAAAATGATCTATTTTCTTTCACCTCCTTTTAAAATGAAATCACAACCCAATGAAGAGGGCTAGAAAAGCTCAGGAAAAAGAAAACTGCAAATCTCCCTTAGCATAGAACTCCCTCTAAGCTAGGGTAAGAAAAAAAGGGGGCACAGGGCTCTTCAACAAAATAGTGACTACTCCCAATCACAGCTCAAGAAGTTTCTGTCTTTTTTTTTCCTTTTTCTCTTCTTTTAATTTGACTTCTAAGGACAAAGGAGCCCAAGAGCTGTACAGATTGTATCTCTGCAACCTGCAATGTCAAAATGTCGATGTGTTTGTTTGTACATAACTCCAATGTAAAAGATTCCCTTGACCTGTGGCCATGCTCACAGACCTACGGTAAAGGGGGGAGGGGAGAGGCAGCCCAAGTGCACGTTACCACATATATATATGGAAAACAGAACCTTTATCACTATTAGCTATCTCACTGAATCTGACATTCTCTCAACAACCACCTCTAAATGAGATCCACTGAGTATGTTAAAAAAAAAATCACACCTACTTATGGATAAAGTCTTTGCAAACAACTGCTCTATTTACAATGCTGTGATTAGCTTTCTTGAACAATTTTCTTCGTGACTGTCAGAAATGTACAAAAGAGTAATTTTTTTTCCTGATCATAAAATGGATAATCATTTCAAGATTCCTAATACTTTTCACAATACCTTCCCTAAGCAGGCACTTAAGTGTGACAAATAATAAGGGCCTTCCCCCCCAAAATCCATTTTTAATTAAAAGAAGGATTAGGTGAATGGGGGAGGTTTACTGTATCAGTATGGCACTTCCTAAACCATAGATAAACCATTAACTTTAACTCACCCCCATCTAAGTTAAACAGGCAAATAGACTAGTCCACCTCTGAACAAACTGGCTAAGGTGACTAATCAAATGGAGCCCCCGCCAGTTGAGTGGGAATTCACAGGGGTTCTCCTCCAGGGTAGACAGTGAGTGGGGACAGCCAAACAGGTTTCAGATATCAAATAATATTTTAATTTCTGAATACTTTCAATTTTCCTTGGAATATAACACACAAAGACTCGACCAAACAGTTCAGTTATTATAACTTTTACAGTATACAGAAATGTTGCACTTAAAAAAAAAACCTTCAGTTTTTTTTAAAACACAAACTGTAAACTCTAAGATACTGAATCAATCACGTTACCTATAAGTGCCAACAGTGTTATTTAATCATGCTGATTTCAATGGTATTTTTTAAAAAGGGAAAATATCAACAATTATAATACAAAGGGCTTGCAAATATACAAACAGAGGATTTTCATAACAATTCAAGAACTAAGCGGGACCCAATTAAAATTACAAAAGTTCACTTTTTATTCAAAACCTCAGCATGTGTCTTGGACACATTCCTTGGCTGCCAATAAATTCCACAGTTCATTCTCTTTCTTAAAATATTTTTTAAAAGCTAGGTTTGTGGTGGTGTCTTTAAAGGTAGGGGCAGGGTAGGGGAAGTTCAGTGGTGCATGTGGTTCCTCAGTTCTCTAGTTAAGAGTGCTCAATGTCACCTAAAATTTTTGGTCACCACTTGTAAGTGCGTTTCCATCATCTTTAGTTGCCTTTTAAAGTTTTATGTGTTCCTATGATATTTTCATGGACTCAGTTTTAATTCTTGCAGAACATATATTTTAAGGATACACAGTTTTAAGAAGCCAAGATTATATCAAAACTTATTATAGAACCACAGAATAAACTGGTTTGGAACCAGAGAAGTACAAAAAAGAACAGCTATAAGTACATAGACACAGGACAATTTATAATTTGGAAAAAAAAAGACTTACTGTCTCCATTCTGCTAATTTTCTCCCAATCTCCTTAAATGCACTTTTAGCAATATTTTTCAAAAAATTTACCAAAAAAAGAAAAAGACTAATTTCCTTTTTATACAAAAATGATAAGTAGCAAGTTGTTCTGACCAACACAGGAGTTGCTTTTTTTTTTAATGCATTCTGTAAAAGTTCATTTGACAGTCTTTTGTTTTTTTAAATTCACAGTCCATTAAATTCTTCCCCTCTCTTCTTTTAGCAAACTTGTAACATCCACTTATATCCTTTCTTAACAGAAGGAATTTAAGCAAACAAACCAGTCTTTTGCCTTTTCTTTCTCTTTCACTCCCCCTTCTTATTTTGCTTTATTTATTTATTGAATTGCCATATAAGGCCAGTTAAAACTGCTGCCAGACAGTAACATATCCCGGATGAGGGTTTCTATGGGGGTTTTACCTACCAAACGGACGAAAAACAATTGCTCTATGACTGAGGAGGACACCGTGCGGAGGGAGGGAAGGCGAAGCAAAAGCTTTCCGAATCGCGTTGGCTGGTTAGGGTACTGGCTCCTAACGTATTCTTCCAAAGCACACTGGGACTTTTCCTGCAAGCTTTCCACATGGGCTACATCAGAGAGACCACAGGCATCTGGAAGGGGGTTTTTTTGGGAGGGGGGAGAAAAAAGAAGAAGAAGAAGAAGAATTCAGTCATCAGATTAAGAGGTTTGAAAAGGGTCACATGAGGTGTGTGCACAGTGTTTTGTCAAACTGATCCAACCAGAGTTCAAGCAAATGCCTACATACTGGAAACTTGGTTGGGGGTGGGGGGGTGGGTGGAGAGAAACAGCCCAAGATGGTCCTGGGGTATTTATTTCAAAATAAAACACAGGGAAGAGCACTGCAGGCGTTCACTAGCCCTTCCTCAGGCTAGGTCACCGAGAGGCCCAAACAAAAAGTGCACTGGGTGAATCTGGCCCAAGTCAGTAAACAGACAAACAGATAAAACCCAAACTGCCAGCACTCTGCCCCTCCTCCTCTGTAAAGAACAGTTTGGCTTCTATAGTGGAGGGGTTAGGGAGAGGGAGCAACAACCTGGCCCAGACAAGAGTAATGGCGTCCAAGACCCAGCCTCAGATTCTCCCCAAAGAGGGCGACTCATTTTTCTCCAGTCTTTGAAACTGATTTAAGTGGCCCTTTAAAACTGATCTTGTCAGTTTAGCCTATTGAAAGGCAGCCATGCAAACTGTGATCTCTCTGTTCATTTGAGCTGTTTCTGTTCCCTCCTTTTCTTCTCTTTTTCACCCACCCCCCTTCATTTTTTTTTAAACCAGGTCCCTCTAAGAAGCACCCCTCCTTGTTATCTTCAGGAAAACACTTTTCTTTTTCTGATACGTGAAAATACAATAAGTGCCTTTGAAATGAGAGACTCCTCTGCAAAGGCGGTGCAGGTTGTGACCTGACCTTTTGGGGCTCCCCAGACAAGATTGGGACTAACACATGCATATTGTGAATCATTAAAACAGAGTTTTGAAAATAACCGCCACCACCTCCACCACATGGAACTGAATGCACATGCAAAGTCCTCAGTGAGCCTCTAGGATTCTGCGCATCTTCAGAAAGTGGAGGTATCTGTGGTCAAGAATTTAAAAATCTGTTTGCTAAGACTCCTTCCATCTGCATGGGTGCTGTGCATCTCCAACCCCCAACCCCAAACAGATAACCTTTATCTCTTTCTGAGGAGTTCTGCATCCTCTAGACAAGACTCCACATTTTGCAAACAGTAATAAATTGAGCTGTTAGGACAATATCAGGCATGTCTTTCCTTGAAACGCAAGGATAATAAGACTAAGCACTAACAGTGATAGAAGAAATTCACAGCCACAGTGCCTGGGAAGGCTAGGTTAAGTGTCAGGTTGTGGGGTAAAGGGGTAAGGTTGGCTGTAGAACAGGGGAGGATCCTGTCTATACATCTGCATCAGCCAAATAAATGCCCTACATATGACAGGCACCCAAGAGTAAAAAAAAAAAAAAAATCAAATCCAAGCCTCTGCATACAGCTTTTCTGCCCAAACATTTCCCCCTAATGGTTATCTTAGGATTTCCAAAGGCAGGAATTGGGGTGGCTGTGTGAGTAATCTTAAGATAAAAAGCAGCAATTTATAAAACCTGGAAGAGATTCAGCTAACAACTTGGTTCTCCAGACTTCCTTCAAACAATAAAGGAGTACCCCTTTTTGTTTCCCATATAAATCTACACATCCCTCCTAGTTTCCTGATTACAGGCTTTAAAAACTGCAGTGCCATGACTAGGTCCAAATGTTTGTCATTCTTAATCTGGAAGCCCTCGCCCCTCTCAGCTGTGACAAAGAGATCAGCTGACAATTTAGAACAAGATTGTGAAGAGCTGACTTCCACTCACCTAAGCTGTGCTGAACTCAGCCTGACAGCAGCCAAAAGGCTCTGCTATGGTCCAAAGTGGGAAGGCAGACACCTCCAAAAATCATTTGGCCTCAAGAGTTAATTAATATCAGATGTATTACTCACACAGGCTAAACTACATGCAAACTAATTGGATTTCATAATGCAGTCAATGATGGTTTTATAACTCCAACAACATTTATTTCTAGACCAAGTTGGCATACACTTTGGGGTGTTTAAAAAATCCATTAGGTGCTTGTCCAGGCAGGGAAAGCAAGGGGCCAGAATTTTCAAATTTCCTGCAGCCATTCTATGAGGGAACATGGCACTTTTATTCCTGTCCCTTCAAGACAGCATTGGATCCTGTCTTAGCAGTGGGCATTATTTTAATAAGGATGTGACTTTGAAAACTGCTTTCCTCAGTGTGGGATTTGCCTGAAGCTCCAACTCCTACTGAGTTACCAAGCATACTCTCCCCCTGCAGGGAAGATGCCGGGGCTGCTTCAGTGCCTTGGGGCTTCTCCTAGAGGGCCAGTTGGGGTGCCACAGAGAGCCAGGGGTAGAAGTGATTCCCCAGGCCCAGCTGGCCTAGAAGGCCTGCACAATGGGAGTGGAGCATAAGAATGCAACCTGCTCTGGTCACTGCAGGATGGAAAGGCTCTCCCAAGGCCCATTTGGGGTTAGGGGGGTCTGTGTCTAAAGCGTCCTTTCTTGCAGCCAGCCCTCTTCCACTCTCCTCAGGACAGGCCTGATGAGACCCGGCAGCTGTACAAAGTTACTACTTCAAGTTGCATTCAAAACTTTGGATTTGCAAAGGGGAGACTCAGCTTGCCCTGGGGATTTCCATACACTCCGGGCTCCATGTGAGGACTCAGCCTAAGCAGGTAGACTAGGGTCTGACCTCTGGCTCTCAGGGCACGAGTGGGCAGAGCTTCTTCCTACCTGAGGTGAACAGGACTATGGCCTTGAGGCAGCTGTATTCCGCAGAGTCGACGTGCAGCGCCTTGAGCTTCTCCACTTGTTCTTGGAAGATCCGTATGTGGTCCATAAAGGCGACCACCCGGTCAGCGGACATGGGTGAGGCGTGCAGGCCGGCGGCAGCCAGGAGTGGGGCGACGTGGAGAGGCATGGAGCATTGTGCTGCGTTCAGCACGAACAGCTCGCTCCAGGTGAGGCGAAGCAGGGCCACCTGGTCGGTGATCTGCAGGTCCGGGAAGAAGGGGATGTTCCGGGCCCACTCCACGGCACTGAAGAGCATCCGAGCGGCCAGTTCGCAAATGTTCTCGATGCCCATAATGTTGTTGGGCTGCATGCACTGACTGCCGAAGCGCGACGTGGGATAGGGTTCGGCCCGCAGCAGCAGGGAAATATATCCGGACAGGTATGAGTGGCAGTTGAGGGGGTCCCCGTTGGTCAGAGCAAACTGCCCATGGGTCGGCTGGGTGGGTGGCATCCTGCCTCTCTGCACAGCTGCGGGGGTGGGGAGGGGAAGAAGGAGAAAGCCACAGTTAATGACTAGTCTGGGTCCCCAGCTCCCCTGGCGGGGTCTGCCCCATATGACCCCTGCCCCTGGCCTTGCCCGCGTGCCAGGGGCGCTGCCCTGGGAATCACTGGCTCCACTCTGCCCCAGGGGCCTCCCAGGCAGACACCAATGGCCAGAGCTGCAGCCTCCCTTCCCAGACCCGCTTCAGGCCAGGCCTCTGAGGACCCAGAATTGTCCACTTTGCCTCAGAGGTCCCTGGAGCTGTGGACAGGATGTCACCTTCTGGGGGCATTTTTCTTCCTTGCTACCAAACAGTTGCTATTTCTTATTGATTGGAGGAGAGGGAGCGGGAGGGGAGAGCCTGGGGGGTTGGGTGAGACGCTACTGCAAAGACCCAAGGGGTCACCCAGAGGCGGCCAGTAACTACCCAGCAAGACCCTCCCCTACACCCTGCACCCGCACGGAGGCCCTGGCGCGAGCGCGGAGGCCAGAGTCGGCGTCCGCCCCGCCAACGTGCTCCGAGGGAGAGGCGCCGCGCGAGAGCGCGGAGAGGCCGGCGGCCAGGGGAAGCCGGCAGCGGCCGGGAGGCGGCGGCGGGCCGGGGACCTGGGCAGGGCCTGCAGGGGCCGCGCGGAGCCGGGCGCCTCGCTTCGGGCTGACTCGGACGCTGGACCCGCCGAGTGACTGGCGCCCGAACACAAAGGAAGCCTGCGCCCCTCGCCGCAGCCCGGAGCCCGCGCCCCGCACGCCATTGGCCGGCCCGGCCCCGCCGAGTCTCGGCCACAAAGACTCAGCTCGAGCGGGCCAAGAGGCGCTGCCGCCGGCCCTGCCAACCGGTCCCCATTCCTTGTAGCCTTCCCTTCCTTTCAAAAGTGAAAGGAGAAGGAAAAAAAAAAAAAACCCACAACAAAACCGAACGGAGGGATCTTTTTCAAGCTGAAGGTTAATCTGAGGAGGGTCACATGAACGGTGCCTGAGCAGCAGCGTTAATACGGCGAAGTGCATAAAATTGCCATTTGTAATCTGAACCTCCTGTACAAAAGTACAATCTCAGGGTTGTATGTGGTTGGGTATTTTTTTTTTTTTTTAGAGAGAGCTCGTGGGGGCTGGGGAGGAGGGACATGTATTAGACATGCAGGAAAAACAAGCAGAGAATAAGAGAGAGAAAAAGAAAGATAAACCCCACTTCAAACCCCAAACATCACCAGCACCAACCCCTATCCCCTGCAGAAGGGCGAACTCGGCTGAACTCACAATCAGTACAAGAAAATGAAAATCAGCTCTGATTTAGGAGAGGAGGAAGATGAACCAGTGGGCCCAAGCATGCAGATTTGGGGCTTCCTGGCTTCCAGTGCGGAAATCGCTTCTAGGCGAAAAACCCCTCTGGACTGCAACACGAAGAAGAGCAGAACTTGGGAGTCCGGGCTCCTTACCCAGAGCAGGCTAGCCAACGCACCCAGGGCCCCGGGACCCGGCGGGGAGGGGGGGAAGAGAGGCCGATACCTTCCCGTCTCATGCCCACTTTGAGGCACTTTTTGAGGCGGCAGTACTGGCACTGGTTGCGGTGGTGCTGGTCGATGGGACAGTTCCGGTTGGCGCGGCACGTGTAGCTCAGGTTCCTCCGCACGCTGCGCTTGAAGAAGCTCTTGCAGCCCTCGCACGTGAACTGGCCGTAGTGCTTGCCACTCGACTTGTCTCCGCACACCACGCATTCGATGTGCTGCTGCTGCTGCTGTTTGTCGCCTCCTGGGCCGCCCTGGCCGCCCGCCGCCGTCTGGGCCGGCGTGCTGGCCGGGCCCCCTTGCCCGGGCGTCTGTGGTGTGTGGGGGGCGCCAGGCGGCGGGCCGGGCACTGGCGGCGCCTGCGAGGCCTGGCTGCCCTGGGAGCCGGGCACCTCGTCCTGGGGGTCGCGCCACGTGCTGACTACCATTGCCATATCTATGGGGGCCGCGTCCGGACTTCTTGTTCCCCTGGCTGCGGGCGGCGGCGGCGGCGGCTCCGGGGTCTCGGACTCGGGCGCGCCGCCTTTTGTGTGTGCGAGGGTGCGAGAGGGCGCGGGAGGGCGCCCTGGGGGCTTGCTTGGTTGAGGTTGATTAGTTTTTTCTTTTTTTGTTTTTGCTTTTGCAAAGTTTTGTCGGTTGCTTTTCTGGCCCGGTGTGTTTGTTGTGTTTGTTTCTCTCGGCTCAGCTTTGTTGGTTTCGGGGGGCTTTCCGCCGGGAGGGGAGGGGAGAGGAAGGGGACGAGGGAGAGCGAGTGGGAGCGGAGCGTGGAGAGAGAGAGAGGGAGGGGGGGAGAGAGCTGCAAGTCGATTGTCTGGCTTCAAGACAGAAGTAGGAGGCAAAAAATATCTCCAAAGCTCGCGCTCGCTCTCACTCTCTCCCTCCCTCTCTCGCTCTCAGAGCTGGTGTGCCGCAGAGGAGTTGGAGGAGGAAGAGGAGGAGAAGCGACTGTCCGGGGGCCAAGTCCAAGGCAGCCCACAGTCAGCCATTCAGGAAAGCCATCGAAATCTGGAGGACTAGGAGC